TTTTTAAAAAAACAAAAATGATATCGATTAAGTAGGAGTTTGAAGATACTGTATAATTTATTTTTATGTTATATGTAAATGTATAAAATGTACAATGATAAATTTAATAGTAGGAGATGTGACTCGAGAAGTAATTTTCATAATTTTTTGTAATAATATTGGGTGTTTTTAATATTAATATTTCAAGTTATTTATTTTAGAAAATTAGGTTGCAATCGAAAATTAATTATCATATTCTTTTGTTGAAAAAATAAGTTTTACTATTAGTCACTCGTCAGTAAAAGTCACTCATAACCTTTAGTGGTAATATTTTGAGATTTTGCGGCGACAAATCAAGTTCTTTTGTAGTGAATCTCAGTTGGCAACGCTTAGGTGGAGGGATTAGTCTCATGTGGCATGCCACGTCACTAAAAAATTGGTGTGTTAACTCTTGAGGATATTTGTGGTCTCCTAAGATTAACAACGGGATATTTTTAATTCCAATTTATAATAGAGGGTATAAGTGATCTATTTTCGCATAGTTCAAAGCAAATTTTGACCCTCTATACATATCGTATATATAAATATCTATGCACAACATCTACGATCAATGTGTATAGGTAATGTATACTTTGACCATGTTAGTAAACTAGACGGAGGAAGTATATATTTATGTAAGTTTTCTTTTTCTTTTTGCTTAATTTGTTATATTCAACAATTTATATTTTATTTTTCAATCAATTATTCTGCTTGTTATTTGCCATCTTCAACTGGCAAAAATAAATAAACAAAACCGTGCCCAACTTGCATCAAGTTCATTCATTTTCTTGGTAATATCCTGAGAAATTATTACCCAAAAAAAATAATCCTTGAAATTATCTTTATATGTAATTTCCAAGTGTTTTCCTGGAAGTAGTACTCTATTTAACTACAAACTAAATTGTGTTCACATATATAACTTAACTAAAAACTGAAAAGAGAAAAGATTTCCACAGGGTAAATGTACCTCTAACATGTCCACTTGTGTAGGTAGTATTCAAAATTTCAGAAGGATAAACTGTTTTTAAAAAAATATCTAAAATATAAATTTAATTGGTTTAACTTTTAGTTTCTTAAAATGAACTGTTAGATTTTAAAAATTATAGATTCAAAATATATAATACTATTAATTTTAAATTTCAATATCCACATTTAATTTAATTATATTAAAATATAAAAAGATTACGGTGCGAAATTTTTTAGATCCTGAAAATTTTAAAAGATTAAAGCTAAAAAAAATTGTTAAAAGAGTTATCGATATTTACTTGAAGAGTGTTACTCACAAAAATAAGATAGATATAAGATCTAAATTCCTATCATCACTTAGAGAGACACACTTAGTTATCATCGTATTATTAGATGATAATTTAAATATAAATTTACATATTTATATTTAAATATATAATCTAGAGAAACCAAGCACATAAATTCACGTGAACCCACGAAATTTCCTTTCCATACGACTCTCTAATTTCTAAATACTTTCTTTCTGAATTTTCTAAGGGATTTCTGGAAGGACATCGTACTACTCACTTGACTTGCGATATAATAATAATAATAATAATAATAATAATAATAATAATAATAATAATAATGTCAACTACCAATATGACGTTATTCATGGTTCAGTACTTTTTTATTTACTTCCCATCCATATTAAAATAATAGTACATATTTTTTCCTTTAACTATTCAATCAAAATATTTATAAAAATAGCCAATGAACATTTTTTAGTGCACGAAGTTAGCTTCTATTTATGCACTAATATGGTAAAAATATTACTTTGAAAGCTATTTAGGCCTCATTTGTTAATATTTAATGGATATCTGAATTTTAATTATTCAGATTCAGTCCATTAAGTACTTTTAATTTTTAACTCTAAATTTTGAATCAACCGATTAAGTTTATTTATTTTATTTTTAAAAAACCTCTTAATGGGTCTGAAGAGATCTGAACGAATCAGATCTATAGAAGATACTCTTAACAACATTCAAACTTATTTCATAAGTTATCAAATAATAAATCATAGTTTCTTTGCTTTGGGGGTGCATTTTTATCTCATAATTAAAAACTTCCTGTCTCACTTTTCTCAATCAAACACCATTTTTTCCTAACCGATAAGTTTTTATAAATCCTTTCAAATAATTTTTTTATATTAATAGCTTTGTTGTAGTTATGTGTGTCAAGAACACTGTTTTGCGATAATATTTTTGGTGTATTGTTGTTTATCAAGATTTTTAAATGAAAAAATAGTACTCCAAATCATGATTATTAAAACTTTTTTTTATCAAAAGTTATATATTTTGTTGAAATGAAAAATTTATAATATTTTATTACTATAATTTGGATTTCAATCTTACAATCAGATATTGAAAACGAACGATATTAATTATTTAGTGTTCAGATTTAGAGACCACATCTTAATATTCAAATATGTTTTCAGATCAAAATATCCAAATCTTAATACAAATTTTAATATTCACATGTGTCTTCAGATTCAGACCTCTTAATTTTAATAGAAACAAACTATACCTTAGTATAGTAGTATTACATAATAAATAACACATATAGTAAAAACAGCTTTCCCGACACGTTTCATTACCAGTCAACGCATACATGTCAAATCCATTTTTTTCTTTTATATCATTTAATACTTGAGAGTCATCAATAGGAGACTGGTTCTTTTGCAGTATTGAAATGTTGGTGTCCAAAAAGTAACAAGACAAAATAAAAGATTTTGATCGATCAAGATTAATCATTTATATTTTGTGTGACATATGAATTTTATTTTCTAGAATCAAAAAGGAATTACATGTTATAGTTGAACACTCATAGACAGAGCTAGAGTAAATTCAGAATTTAAGTTTTATAGATTATGAGCTCATATCCACAAGTTATTGCAATTTCAATGAAATTTTAAACACTAATTTATATTTAATTCATACAAATTATTCAATATATAGAAGTCATAGTATTATTCATGGAGTTTCTTGTCCTTCAATGTCTATGTTTTATTGCATTTTAATTACCATATATTTTCGTTGTAATTATGCTTTTTTTTTTTTTTTCAGATTGATGATTTGACAATTGACAGTTGACATACTCTCTATAATATTTTGCTATGACTTATTAATTCAGTCATGTTAACTATTTTTATAGCCATATTATTATTAGAAACAACCTCTCTAACTCCAAGATATGAGTAACATATGTGTATACTTTCTCCACATATCTCGCTTATGAAATTACACTTAATATATTACTGTGACGACATGTCAACAAGCAACCGTCCACATCATATAGGAAGCATCCTAGTTGTTACTACTGTTTTTAATTATAAAGAAACATTAAAAACCAGTGAAATACTTCGAATCCTAACTATAAATAAAGTCTTCAATCGTCTTCTTCTTCTTGGAATTATTAAGTTCCACACAATTCAATTTCCATCTTCTAAGCTAGCAACCATTTTTTTTTTAATTAAAAAAATGGCACCTATCCCAACAACCATTCAACATTTTACTCACAAACATTCACTAATACTACACCATGATACCATAAACCCTAAATATTTATGTGAGGGTTGCATGACTTATGGTTTTGGTACAAGATATCATTGCCATGCTTGTACCTCTAACCTACATGAAGATTGTGCAAAGTGTCCTCGAATTCTATGGTCTTTTATGCATCCTCACCACCCACTCAGGCTTGTTGAGCGCGATCACCAGAGTGGTGATCGCGCTTGCAACATATGTCGTGAACTAATTGAAGGCCTATCTTATAGGTGTGAGCCTTGTGGATTTGATGTTCATCCTATATGTACTCTATTGCCGGAAACACTCAACCATATTCTACATCAGGTAACCTAGCTAGTATTTTTTATGTCCTAATTTATGTGATCGTTTTTTATTTTTAGTTTATTTTAAAATTTTAGAATTAAATGAGTGAAAGTGCTCATTAACCTTGGTTTAATTTTTTTTCCATTAACCTTTAATTTTAGTGTGCAATAATATCTTTAGTTTAGCTTTTAATTTTGAAAAAACAAAAATAAAAAAAGATCTAGGATTCTATAAAATTTTAGGGTTGTATAAGAATTAAGATTTATTGTGGAATTGTATAAAATTTAGGGTTCATTGTCATGGAGAAATGAAGAAAGGGGGAGAAGGATTTGAACTAAAAAAGTTTTTTTAAAAATAAATAAATTAGTAAGTTCAATTATAGATGTTAGGAGGTTGATTTTATGGGCTTTGTGTAAGATCGATTGATTTTGAAATATTTGATCGACTCATCATCTTGGTATATTTTAATACAAATAGAGTGATAATTTAAACAGGTAATTGAATGATCGAGATATAAAATTTCAAAAAAAAATTAAGATATATTTTTAACCATTAACTCAAAGAATTATCAAATATATATTATTCATGGAGTTCATTTAGAAACAAAAGTAGACTTTTTTGTATTATAACTTATTAGGTGACCTTTAAGAGACATTCAAAAATTAGATGAACAATGCAACTCTATACATTGAAAACTGATTTTCATGCATTAATATTAACCTAAAATGATCATTTAAATAATTAACTCTCTTTTATTTAAAAAAATTATATATAAATATTTGGACCACTTATAGTTTAATATCTATCATATATATGTGGTTGTCAACAAGTGTTTTTTTAAAATTTGATAATCATGATATTTTCATCAATATTTCAGCCGCATCCTTTAAGGCTATTGAGCTCGATCGAACAAGGAATTACTTGTGTTATTTGTAGAGGAGCATGTAACGCTTTTTCATGGCGTTATCGATGTGCACTATGTAATTTTGATATTCATATACGTTGCGTCCCAATACAATGTCAAAATAAAACAACTCATCGAGGGATTTCGACGTACTTCCCACCATCTATATTACCTCAACAACATTATTTTGTTGGTTATCCTAATCCAAATAATTTTCCTGGTCCATCTAATATGAACCATTACAACAACAATATTGTGCCACAACTATACCAACAAAATCATGGGCAGGCACAAACTCATTATGGTGTAAATTATGGCGGACGAATTAATCAAGTGATGTTTCATTTGGTGAAAACAATTGCAACTGGGGTGATTTCCAATTTGGTATTTGGGGTGATCGATGTGTCTACAATTTTTTGATCTTGATAATGTAAAAGTGTATAAATTTTTTCATCCTTAGTTACGGAAAGTATAATGCTTTGAAAAAAGAAAAAGATAATTTCATTTTGTGTGGTAAAACTTTTTGTTGGATTTTCGGTCTATATATTAATGTTTTGGAATTTTTACTATTTTTTTGTTGCTTTATAATTGTTAATAGTTTTTTTTTTTGAGAGTCGTTGGCTATTTTGTTGTGTAAAGTTTCTTTTTGTATGATAAAAAAAAATTGAACCTAAAATTTACGGACCAAAAAATGTAAGATGTAAATTCATTATTTGTTCCACAAAAGAAACATCACCACAATTAATTATATCAATCGTGTGAATCATATAGTAAATTATTCAAATTAAAATCTATTCGAAAAAATACGACAGATAAAATAGAGGTGACAACACATGAACACATGCATTACTTTCCTCAAAGAAACGGTAATGTTATTGGTTTAGACTAAGTATTTATTTTGTGAAATGCTATTTGTAATTTCATCATTCGATGAAAGTGTTGAATATTGTCACTATGATCTAAAATGTCAAAAAGAAAATTTAATCCCCCATGTATGCGTATATATAATATTAGGAAAAATTATACCGTATATATATAAAAAGTTATATAAAGTATTTCTTCATATAATATCAGCAAAAAATGAAAATAAGTCCGTCCCAAATATCATGTTTAAAAAACTCCAATTCCGAGTGTTTTCATCAAATCAAACATCACTTGCCCATGGTTCTGATGTTCTGGCTGTGGCATGTAATTGTGGTGCATGTTAAATTGACTAGGAAAATATGGGTTGTTAGTTGGATGCCAATAAGGAATTCCATAAGCATAACCATTGAATCCAAATGGTGGAACCTATGTTGGGATTCCTCGATCCTTTCGAATTGTATTATTACACAATCAATATGAATATCAAATCCACAAGGTATACACCTATAACGCCATGATGAAGCGTTACATGCTCCTCTACAAATAACACATGTTCCTGATTTAGTCGAGTTCAATAACTTTAAAGAATGTACCTGAATTTATGTCAATCATCTTGTTAATTAAAAGGAAAAATTGTATATAATAGCAAACTAATAACCTAAAATAAATGGAATATCTAAGGATTGATTTAATTGTACTCCATAGCAAACGTTAGCTAAAATTTGCCAGCGTCTCTCTCCCAAAAATCTCACTCGCCATTCTCCATTCTCGCTCGCCTCTCTCACTTTATACACAGAAGTGTATAATTATGTTTCTGTTTTGTATAAAGCGAGAGAAAATTGTATATACACATGCAAAAATATATATCTTCGTGTTATACACTTAATTATACAATTTACAGACATTTTACTTCAAATATTACAGAGAAAAAGGCCAACGAATTATACAATTGCGAATTATACAAGTGTAGTGAAATACAATTTTCTCTAGCATTATACAACAGAAGTGTATATATCGTGTTTCTGTTTTTGTATAAAGAGAGAGAAAAACATATATCTTCTTACTATACACTTATAATTATGCAATATACATACATTTTAATTCGATTCAACTGTATGCAAAGCAAATTATACAATTGCAGCGAAATAGGCCAACGAATTATACAATTTAGGCCAGCGAATCATACAACTGTATATGTATAGCGAATTATATAGTTTTATGTTTGTTATGAAGAACAATTATGCAAACTTTGCTATAGCATACAAATATGAATTTTTTGTTTGCTATATGTGAAAGTTGCCCTAATTAAAATGATTGCACAATTATACATCCATTTCTAAGTTGTGATCCACATCATAGATATTAAACACCTAAAATCTAATTTGTCAAAATTAGGGGAAGCTAATTATATTTCTGTTGTCCAGCATGTGTGAGATATTTATTTTCTAACACAAACTTTATTATCATTTGACTGACTATCTGAATTTTTATATATATTGATTATATTTGGAGTTAATTTGTGATCACATAATAATCCCCACCCCTATTCTCTTTCCTTTATCTGAATTTTCACTTTATTAAGGTTTTCGAGAGTGATATTCCTCCTCTCTCTAACATGAAAAGTAGGCTAACAAACTCAGATTCACGTTATTTTGCAAGTGGAAAGGGATTTTGTTGAACAATCTTCAATTTTTCAAAATGATTATGGATTTTCTTGATAAGTGGTTCCTATTATACTCCCTTACTAATTTCTTTAGAAATTTAGATTTTTTTTATTTATATGTTTTAACTTCTCAATAATTAGATGTAACAAATATTTTTTTTCTTAAATTCCGTATTATGTATTTACGTCAATTGAAATGGATTACCTACCTGATGTAGGACATGTTCCACAATATTCATGCAAATCGAAATCACATTCAGGACAATGATATCTTTTACATTTTGCAACCATCACAAGAATATTTGGTATTGGAATCAAATAATGTAAATGAATGTTTTGGTTATGTGAAATATTGTAATGTGTTTCCTTTGGAGTGGTGACATTTTTTGTTAATTTTTTTTTCTTTCTCTAGGTACCTCCAAAGAGCAAGAGGATAATGTAAGACTTTAGGGCATTTGCTAAGTCTTTGGCAATTTTATTTTATTTTCATAGAATACATCAACTAGAACTTTAGTTTAGTACATCACCAACCTTGATGATTCCTAGTAATTTAAGAGAAGGCTTGCACTGTTTCCTCTAGTTGTCTAGTTGTACAATTTTATTTATTTTGTAATTTTTTTTAAAAAAATTATCTGTCTCAATTTATATAATACAATTTTAATAAGTACGAAATTTAAAAAATATGAAAAAACTTTTTAATGTTTTAAAAGTTATCGTTAAAATAAATAACTTTTAAATAAAAGAGTAGGACTTTGTAGATTTTTTGTCAATGTTGTTAGTTTCGTTAAATACTTTTCAAATAAAAAAAGATGTCATTCTTCAATAAATTCTTCTTCGATTCAAGGGTCTATCAAAACGTTTCTCAACCCCAAAAAAAGAGATAAGATTTATATATACTGTATCCTTTCCTAAATTATAGTTGGGGAATTACAATGAATATAAGAATCAAAATAAATGATTTTTTATTGCTCCATCTCCTATAATTTTTGGAGAAAAGCTAAAGAATCTATTTTGATTGGCTTAATTTAAGTATTTTTCTGCTAAAATAAATTTAAGAATTTTTAAAGTGCTTAAATAAATTTAAAAAATGCTTATACATACTAAAAATAAATTGAAAGCTATAACTAAAATTTCTAATAATTTTTAATTTATAAATTAAAAGCTAAAAGTCAATTAAAAGACTTTATAGTTTTAAGAAATTTCAAAAGAGAAAGTATGCAAGGCCATATATCTAAAGTAAATATAAAAGATTATGGTGTAGAAGAATTGAGATTACAACTAGCTTAGATCAAAAGACTTTTTTTTCTTGGATGGAATATTTATTGAAGTCAACTATAGGAGATAATGAGAGAGATAAAGGGGGAAAAGAGGAAGAAGAATTGAGAAAGAAATAGAAGTATGAAGGTAGATGAGTCAGTTTGATGGTTATTTTAAAAAAAATGTAGCATTTTAGTAATTTGAGTATTTTATAATGTATAATTAAAATAATTTTTTTTTAAAAAATATCTTTATCATATAGATTTTTATTTCGTATCGGAATGAATTGGTTAATTTTTTACTTTAAATATCACCTAAAAAATACCCCATTATTAAAGTATTTCTTTTGCAAGTGTCTTTTTGAACACTTAATTTTTTCACGAAAATGTTAAGAACGTAAAACGTCGTTAACATATTCACATATTGTTTAATCTTAAACTTTTAATAGGAGTGTTATGTTAGCGTGCGTATATTTTGCCGTACTATTTGATGGAGTATTTATCATAGTATCAATTTTAAACCTACTTAATTGAAGGTTAACTAAAAAGCAAACATAAAGTCGACTAGACATCGAACGCCTAGGACCTAGTTTATATTGATATTTTAAAATTTTGTTTATACATTAAATTTAACATATTGTTAATATATAAAATGTTTACTGTAATGATATTCGATTGATTTGGTTCGATTTTTTTTAATTTGTTTTACAAATTAAAAAGTGATTTCAGTTGCTAGGGAGGTTATATAAAAATTCATGATTTTATTGAAATAAATGATATAAAATAATACGGTAAAATTAAATTGAATTGATTCGATGATTTTTATATTCTTTTGTCTCTGAAGTTAAAAGAAAAAAAATATTTGTTATGGAATTTCCAAACATATTTTAAATTTCTTTTATTATATTATATTATATTATATATATTATACTTGGATGTAGAGTCGTCAATATAGGCTAAGCCCGTTGGGATGACATGGCTTAACTCGGGATTTGATAGGATTGAGCTACGATTTTTAGAGCTTATTCAAGAAAAGTGTTTTTAGTCCGTTCTGAATAAGCCTGTCGATCTGTGGACTTGAGAAATATGGATAATGATGTTCAGTGGGTCAAATAAAATAGAGTATTAAAAATTTCAAGAGTCTAAACTCAAAATCAGTTTAAAGTTTAAAATATTATAATTTAAATACAAATTATGTTTATAAAATACGTATTACGTAAAATAAAAATTTTCTAAAATTTATAGGAATCATTACATAGGTCATAGTCATTGGAATATTATCATTTTTTTTGTAATTTTTATTATGATCATTGGAAAACAATTAGGTTTATATTTTTATTTAGTTATTTATGCTTTACTTGAAATCAAACTTAATAAATATTATAATGATAATTTTATTTCGAAATTTGATTAAAAAGTAATAACACTAACATCGTGTAATATTATCTTATAGATATTTATGATATTCCTTTAAAATTATAATTTAATTGAAAAAATTATAAAAAATATTTTTTTTACGAAAAGAGGGCTAACCCGACAAGTCTATAGCCCAATACTTGTGGTTGGCCCGACCATTTTTTGGCCACACAAAAAATGAGTTAATCTGGCCTGACCTCTCAAATTTCAAAACGTGTATGAATTAATCCGAATGAGGTGGGTCAGCTCATATTAACAGTTCTACTTGGATGAAATATTATTTATGGAAATATTATTTGGATTGGTGCCTTTTAATCGATAAGTATGAATTTTAGCAATATTCTTTTTATGTATTGCCATTTAAAAATAC